CCTTATTTTGAAAGGTGTGTTTAGAATTATTTATTTTAGTTGTGATATGTTTTTGAAACAGTGTAGTAGAGTTGGTGTTGTGTTATGTTATGTTGTTGCCTCATTCATTTTATTGAGCGTACTTTTTGGAAGAAACTTGCTTGCGTAACTATTTGGGGACATCGCTATTGCCTATATTCCTATCGGGGCTATTGCTGTGGTACAGTGTGTATTTTCAGCATCCGTGGTGGTCTCTGTGTTCCGTGGCTTACTAGCAATTTCTGACTGCTGTTTTCTTATGGTTTTCTCCCCAAAACCGTCTTGAAGTCCTGTAGTAGGTGAGTGTAGGGATGATAAGAGACAGATATTCTTAAACATTGAAACTTTGACAAACATTTTTAAACATGATCTTCTACAACTTCGTCATGAGGGAAAGGCACTGATCTCTTCTCTGTGGTGACTAGTGATAGAACCGAAGGGAATGGCCTGAAGTTGTGTCAGGGGAGGTTTAGGTTCAGTATGAGGAAAAGGTTCTTCATCCAGAGGGCAGTTGGGCACTGGAACAGGCTCCCCAGGGAAGTGGTCACAGCACAAAGACTGACAGAGTACATGAAGCGTTTGGACAACACTCTCAGGCACATGGTGTGACTCTTGGGGATGGTCCTGTGCTGGGCCAGGAGTTGGACTTGATGATCCTTGTGGGTCCCTTCCAACTCAGCTTATTCTGTGATTCTATGATAACTTGTTGAAAGTAAAGAATAATTAGAAGAACGGAAAAATCCAAATCCTCCTAGAATGGAGCAGGCTATTGCACAATAAAACAATAGGTTTTTAGTGCAAGTGTGGAGTGATACTGGGTGTGCTGCAGATTTTTTGTGGCAAATAAGTAATTTTTTTATAAAAAGTAACTTACTGGATGGATGAGTGAATTAAGTGTCCTTAAAGGAATCTTTATGTATTGTACTTCTAATTTTAATGGCTCTTGAAAGACAGTTGAGAAAATGACATTACTCTGTTCATGAAAGTTAGAAAAAGTACTTTCAGACCAAAATGACCTTCTAATGACCTTATATTTTGCAAAGAGAAGTGCAACCTAGTTCAGTTTGCTCTGCCATAAAGAGCTTGAGTTTTTATAAAGTAAATATAAAAGAGATAGGAACCTTTACTCTTTAAAGTGGTGTCAACCTATCCCGTTTCCCATGAAATGCTAACTAAACTTGTTAATGTTAGGTTAGCTAGAGATCTAAAAAGTGTCTCTTTTTTCATTTAATTATTTATAAAAGTAAAATAAAACCATACAAATAAATCTTTAAATAAATCCTTTTTATTTTCTTTGAAATTGGAGAAAAATCCCCACACAAACCTTGAAATACTACTGGTCCCATTGTTTTGCAGTCATATTTCTGGTTTTGTGTGAGCATTTTTATATTTGCAGTGAAGGTAAGCTGCTCTTGTTCTTTCAAATGGGTTAACTAACTGTATGCTAAATAGAAATCAGAAGCAAATTCTGAATTCTTGTTTACCAAAGCAAATAAAACAAATCCTCAAAGCGTAAAATAAATCTGGTTTTCTTATTTTGGAGTCATTTTGGTCCTGTTGACCCACTTTCCATAATATGCATTTGATAGCAAGGAATTTGTAGGGGTTGGTTTGTTTTATGTATGTAGGCATTCTTGTATTACTTGTCTAAGGGAGATATTCATAAATAGTTTTAAATCGTAGGAGCAGTGCTTGGAAAATCTTTAGTATTTTCTGTTACAGGAGAGGAGGGAGACTGTCCTACCTGTAACGTGCCAACATTTTGGTACTTAGAGTTTTGAACTGAGACACTGGTAATCTTTTTGTTTATAAGTATGTCTCAGGGATGAAATGTAAGAACAGCCATCTCAGCAGGAGAAAAAAATTGATTGTGAAAGGCTAGCAATGTGGTGTCCTATCTTTTTGGTAAAAATAGTTTCAGGGGTTTTGGGCAGCGATCAAGTAATGAAAAGTTTGTACTAAGAAAATGCATTGTATTTCTGTTTTTAATTCCACCTCCTTCATACTACTGTTTTCTCTTGGATCTGTTTTCTAAATGTGTGCTTTTCTAAAATTTAGATTCTTCCATTTTTCTTACCGTCTACTGAGCTCTCAGGAGACCTCACCCATAATACTGTGTTCAACCTTGGGGCCCCCCAAAAAAGACGGACATGGACTTGTTGGAGCAAATCCAGGGGAGGACCATGAAAATGATTAGAGGGATAGAGCACCTCTGATATGAAAACTGGCTGAGAGAGTTGGGGTGGTTCAGCTTGGAGACGAGAACGCTCTGGGGAGATCTTACAGCATCGTGCAGTACCTAAAAGGAGCCTACAAGAGAGCTGGAGAGGAACATTTGATGATGGTCTCTAGTGAGAGTGATGGCTTTAAACTGAAAGAGGACAGGTTTAGATTAGATATTGGGAAAAAATTTTTTGTTATGGGGCTGGTGAGATGCTGGAACAGGTTGCCCAGAGAAGCTGTGGATGCCCCAGCACTGGAAGTGTTTAGGACCGGTTTGGATGGGACTTTGAGCACCTGGTCTAGTGGAAAGTGTCCCTGCCCATGACAGGGGGGTTGGAATTAGATGGTTTCTAAAGGCCCCCTTCAACCCAAACCATTCTATGACTCTGTGATTTTTGCCCTTTAGTGCTTATTTCTGTAGTTATTTGGCATTCCCACTGCTTACTTCTCATCCCTTTCTCAGTCCCAGACTCAAGAGGTGAAGAAACCTCCTTCAGGTCATCTTGCATTCAGTGGGGGCAAACTTGGGAGATTCTGAAGAAGAGGTATCTGCTATCTGGTCTGGTAAATTCAGCCTGGAGTTTAGTTCACTGAATTGTTATGGCCATGGTTGTTATTAATTAAAAGATGATGAGTAGTGATCACTGTGAACTGGGATTAGAAGCTATATTTGAAAAAAACATGGCAAAAACTGAGAGAAAAATTAGCTAAAAATGTGAGGAGGAGAAGATGTGTATGGAAACATGGCAGATTGAATGAGGAACTGTTGTGTAGTGGAAGAAAAGCAGCTGGAGTCAAATGCAGTAAAGCCTAAAGTGAGGCAGTAGAAGAGCACATTAAACAAGCCAGTAGAAATCCTACCAGAACAGAAAAATGTGGGGAAAGCTGAAAGAAAAGAAGCAGTAAAGATGAAATCTTTGCCTCTGTCAAGAATAGTGTGGCCAGCAGGACCAGGACAGTGATTGTCCCCCTGTTTCTGACACTGATGAGGCTGCACCTCAAGTCCTGTGTCCAGTTCTGGGACTGTCACTACAGGAAGGACACTGAGTTGCTGAAGTGAGTCCAGAGAAGGGCAACAGAGCTGGTGAAGGTTCTGGAGCACAGGTTCTATGGGGAGCAGCTGAGGGAGCTGGGAGTGTTTAGCCTGGAGAAAAGGAGGCTTGGGGGGGACCTTATCAGTCTCTACAACTACCTGAAAGGAGGTTTTAGCCAGGTGGACATCGGGCTCTTTTGCCACATCTCAAGTGAAGGGCTGAAAGGAAACGGCCTCAAATTGCACCAAGGCAGATTCAGATTAGATATTAGAATTTAAATTTTTTTTTTACTGAAAGAGCGATTAGGCATTGGAATAAGCTGCCCGGGGAGGAGGTGGAGTCAACGTCTCCGGGAGCGTTTAAGAGGAGTTTGTGTGTGGAGATATGGTTTTGTGGGGATTATGGTGGTACTAGGTCAACAACTGGACAAAATGATCTTGAAGGTGTATTGCAACCTTGATGATTCTGTGAAAAGACGGCAGTACAAAAATAAACATTAATGAAAAGAAAGCCATGCAGCAGAATTAGAATGAAAAAATCTTTGGACAAAGGGAATGGGAAGAGATGATGAAATAAGAGGTGGAAGGGGCAAAAAAGCCCACTTAGTGAATGAATAAAAACAAGTGCAAAGCCAGATAAGGAGATAAGCAAGTCCTAGTGATCATGTTAAACACAAACTCAAAAGATATTTCTAGTGGTTCACCTTTTCACTTGTTAAAATAAGTGATAAAAATAAGATAAAAAATCCTATTATTTTATTATGCTTCTAATTTAAAAGTATAGTTTTGTCTGGGTTTTGGTGTTAGATTCCCCCCCCGCCATAGTTTTTTATATCTTTCATCCTGTTCAATATTTTATTTGTGAAAATGTATTTCATATTTCTCTGTAGAATGTGTTATACTGCAAGCAAGTACACTTTTCATTTGTCAGTGCTATGCAAAATATGGTCTGTGAGGGGACAGTTATGTTTATTTATTGTGCTATTTAGTAATTAATTTGCTTTGAAATCTCACAAATGAAAACAAATTTCAGTCATTTAGGATTGAAGATAATTTTTTTTCTACTTTTAATTTCATAAAAAGAATAATAGAACAGGAGTTCATGCTGATCTTAGTCTGCTCTGTAAAGCCTTTGTGGCTATGTAGATAGTGATGAAAATCCCCCAGAGTTTCCACACCATGGAGACAGGGTGCTTTGCAACCATCTGTAGAGTATAACCCCATAATTTGCTGAGAACCTCCATTATCAATGAATTTAATTAAGCAGCATCTAGACATGATTTGTGTGGTTGTTTTTTGAAGTTCTTTTTCTAAATAATTTTTAAATCACACCTTTGGTGAAACTCTGTTCCTTTTCTTAAGTGCCTGTGGACTAGGCCTTGAAGATAGGGGCGTTCTGCACCCAAGGGGATGCTTAGCACCTTGTGTTATTCAGTCTCTATAACAACAAATAGATATTGCATGAAGTAACTTCTAATATTATTTGTGTGTGCAACTCTGAAATGTCTTGAACATTTCTCCACGTTGTATCTTGCTACAAAAATATCATTCTTCGGCTATGAGCTTTTATGCCAAAGATCCTCAGGGGACAAACAGAGGCTTGCATCACATACAGATGACTGTATTAGTTTCTACAAAATCCAAGAAAATTAATAAGTGAAGCTTATTTTATACTGCATTAAATCTTTAATCTTTAAATAGTTTTTACTTTTTTCTTTCAACTAAGGAAATGCTACTTCACCGCAAGTTCAAAGACCTTCTTTCATGGACTACTTTGATAAACAAGATTCCAAGAATAAAAGCCCTGAAAACTGTAATCAGAACATGCATGAACCTTACCACATATCCAAAAACGTTTTCCCTGATAACTGGAAGGTCCCTCAAGATGGAGACTTTGATTTTGTAAGTACATTTTTATTGTTTAATTTCTTGCATATGCTTTATTTTACTTATGTCAGAAATATTTAATCCCTTTCTGTTAACTATGTTAATACAAGTAACAATATAAGTAAACTTTCCAGAATACTGTCCAGTTGTCTAATCTTAATGCCTCATCGTGACTGTCGAAATAAGTACATATAATTAACACAGGACGTCTTTAATGGGGAATGGCATGTGACATTATACTACTTTGTAACTACTTTTTTTTGTTAAAATGTTTTTGGTTCCTTAAAATTTATGTGCTATAACAACTTTAAAAATTGACTTAGTTGTTTGAAAAAACCCAAAATTGCCACAGACATGGAATATTGCTGTCATGTTTGCTGCATAACTCAGTAAAATGATAAGCATTTTAAACTGGGTTGGAACCATTTAATCAATCTCCTTGGAGATGTTTAAGATCACCTACTGTTTTGCACAAGTCATCCTCTTGGTACTATTCCAATAGCACACGTATCTCTACACAGAATTATTCTATCTAACACCAGTCTGTCTATTTTAGAGTGGGGTTTTTCCCCCTCCAAAATATGTGTAGTTTATTTCTTTTTGTCTGTGTTGCACTTTATAACAGGGGCAAAACAAAAATGTTCCAGAGTTATAGGTTGCACTTAAAATGACATAGTTACTGATTAGAGACTTGTAGGTAATTATACCTGGTTTTCACCTTTGTTAATTTTTTAACATGTTTCAGTGAAAGAATTTAGTTTATCCGTTGTGGATGAAACGTTCTTAATTACAGTGCGGTAGCTAAATATGATCACATGACACCTTTTTGAAAGCACACTTGGGATTTGGAGAGAAATGTGTTTAATTTTAGGTGACAACTGTAGGTGTGGAATTTTTTTTCCCAGTTTTCACTTACTTCATTTCTACTTTAAGCTGACTCTTAAATTTAAACTACTGGAGTAAAGCCAGTTAAATAGCACAGTACAAGCTGTTGCTGCTGAAGAGTTTTTATTTAGTTGAATTTTGGTTTGGGTGGAGCTTTTTTAGGCTTTTCCTGGTAATTGACTAACAAAAGAGTTGCACTATTCATTGGAAAATAATGGGCCATTATTTCAGTGGGGTTATTACAGTGGCAAAAAAATTGCCTTTAGAATAATTTAGAATTCATCCTATCTTTTCCAGTACTTGTGAAGGAATGCAGGCAAAAATGATTCTTTTTGTAAATGCTAAGATGCTGATTCTGTAAGTGGTTGTTCATAAATATTTCACACGTGGATAATCATGTGGAACTTGCTGATGTTGCTTCTACATATGAAGTTGCCTTCTTGAAATACGAATTTGTCCTAGAACCAAACCCGAGGAGTTCTGATCTTCAGATACGTAACTGCTCTCTGTAGGCAAACATTACTAGTGATAGCCACTCAAAGACTTCAGAATCCTGGAATGGTTTGAGTTGTAAGGGTCTTTAGAGGTCATCTAGTCCAGCTTCCCTGCCATGGGCAGGCACATTTTGCACTAGTTGCTCAAAGCTGTAACCTTGAAAACTTCCAATGATGGGGCAGCCACAACTTGTCTGGGGAACCTATTGCAGTGTCTCATGGAGGTTATGTGATGTGCGGTTCATCCTTGGCCTCCTGAAAAGGCAGTGTTGTAATGCTTTTTGCTACAAGATTATTCTGATTGAAAACCAGATTGGATTTTTTAAAAAGTGAATTGCTGTTTGCATGGACAATGTATGTGTGTGTATGTGTGGGATGGTATTCTCTTTTAAATAAGATGAAAGCCAAATACTTCCATGGATAATCCAGCCTAAGAAAGAATCTAGGAAGACTCTTCAGTAGTAGATGTACTGCTTCAGAGCAGTCCACTCAAAAATACATTTCTCTGAAGCTATCTGGTACCAGCTGATATCACACAGGATGTGGGTTTTAACAGCCTGCTGATTTGAACTGTAGGCAATTATTATTTGTTTATATATATATATTCTAGAAGCACTTCTATTTATATTTTAGACAGCAAGTGACAGTATTGGCAAGTGGCCTGCAAGAAACTTTCTGAAAGGATAAATCAGTGGGCAGCATGCATAATATGTTGTCTGCTCTTTGTGAGATCAACATGAATATTTTCGGTTGCTGACATGAAGTCTTTAAATGATTCATGAAAGGGGTAAATAATGGAGACTTTTTGTACTAAATAGTTCCATTCTGTTTTGTTTGGAATTAGCCTTAATGGGATCTAAAAAGGGATCTTAGCAGTAAATGAAGACAGTCATAATTTTATTTAAAGAAGGGATTGGTATACTAGAACTAAAATATAAATGATCAAAATGCAACTTAATGCTAGTATATTCCAGTAGTACTCCACCTTTCTGTGTAGAAGAGGTGGGATGCTCTGTAAGTCAGAGGTTGCCAAACTCCTTTGTTGGATGATACTGATATTCTTTCATACCCTTGTAAGCCAAACACATCATAACAATGCTGGCAGCCAGTAAGCACTTCACTTGTGAGCCAGGGTGAGTGACAGTGCCATGCTAAGAAGAGATATTCGGGTGTGTTGATGGAAAGACTTAGAAGTGTATGTGTCTGTTAAAGCATGAACTATAGAAGCAGAAATGCCATTGAGGTGGGAGAGAGAAGGGAAAGGGAAGAAAACCCAAACTTTATAAATCCCTGCAAATAATCAGGTTGCTTTTTTCTGTGTGTTATGAAGTGAAACCTGCAGAATTGGGAGCTAATGCTTGTGTCCGGGTGGTATATTTGCTTTAGGTCACAGTGATATTTTATCCTATTCCTAATCTATCTTACTGTTTGATAAAACAGTTACTGTTTGATAAAATATAGCTATTTTATTTGTTTAAATGTACAAATACATGTAATGCAGATATAGCATTTAGTCTTACACACTTGCTGATGGTTTTAAATAATGTAAATAAATGATACAGGAAACTTTTCTCGTAATGTGGATAAATGAATATATAAAATAACGCAAATGAACTTAGTGCAAGGTCTGGTTTGAAAGTTGTTGTGTGAGCATAGTTTTCTGCCCTGACGTAAATGTTTTAAAAACTCCTTGCCAATGAAAATAGAACTAGAAGACTTTCCAAGAAAATAAGATACTTTAGTCATCAATCTGAGTCTTAAACAATAAACCTTAGCAGCATTTTTTGTTCTTTAAGTACATATTTATGCTTTATTTTTTCACTATTGAAGTACATCTGTTTTGAAATTCAAAAACTGATCTTATTTCTTTTTCACTGATACCATATGGGAATTTGAGATCCATCTTGGACTGTTGGTCCTGTGGGCCTTCAGTTCCGTGATCAGTCTGTGCTGGTTTTTGGAGGCATCTTCCATGAATCGATAAGAAAAATTGCTGCTGCAGATCTTCAAGTTTTGTATTGAATCAGGTATATTGCAAATAACTTTTAACTAGACTTAATTCTGATACTGTATACTCACCTTGAATATTACATTATTCCAACTTTACCCTGTTATGCATGCTTCAGGACTTACGGTGCTGTTTTTTGTGCATAAGAGGTGTTTGGGGTTTTTATACTACGTTTCTTCTTGCTTTCTAAAAAGAAACCACCACCAAACAAATAAAAGGATTCAACCCCAAACGCTTAGGAATGTTGTATTTTCTGTGACTATATGTAGAGTTACTGGTTTTAATCTTTGTTTTCAGTTATTCTGTTGTCTGGTTCTGACATCTCATGATAGATTCTCGAAACCATAAGTATGGATCTTTGATATCAGTGAATCTTAGGGAAATGTGTTTCTGGGGAAGTACTTGTAAATATTTTGGGGTTTTTTTTCCACGTCAGCCTCTGAAAAGGAGTGTTGAAGCTCTGATTTGATATATATCTCTTTCAAAAAATCCAAATTAGTGTTTATTCAAACTTCAACTTTTATATTAAATTGTTAAAGTGTATTTCACACTCAAGGATCATTGTGGATTTTTGTTTTCAATGAATTCTATCAATCTATAGGCAATTCTCTTACAGATTTTAATAATTTTTAACAGGCATGCAACAGATGGCAAAATTAAAGCAGTATTTTCAATCCTAATTCTGTCAGTTTTACTTGGGGTTAACTCGTGTTTCATTCACGGCAAACCTTGATGTCAGTAAGTGTAATGAACAAGATTCTACTCACTGTGAGTAAAAGTGGCACAATGTCATTGAATAAGTAAAAATTGAGTAAAGCTCTGTAGTGTATGGGTATGACATTCCTAGAAGTGTTAAAGATGTATGGTATAAACAGCTTTTCATAATGAGGCTTAACTCTTTAGTGGACCAACCTTTAGTCATAGCTCAGAGTCAGCAGTTTGTATCAGAGTGGTGAATTAGAACAAATGATGTGTTTGTTTTGCCCATCTGACTGACCAGTCCTTTTAAGAAGAGTTGTTTTTAATAGATATTATGTATTCATATGACTGTGTTACTGTTGTGATAGCTTTGTTCTTTCCATGGGGAATGTTTCACATTAGATAAGTAGGTACTGGAGAGAGCAAGGTGGTGTTGAAACAGTTTGCTCAAATTTTTTTATAGTCTTTCACAGTTGAAGATTTTGTGATACATTGTGATATATTTATCACAAATTTATGGGCATTATAAAAATTAATTTTCACAAAACAAGGTGCACTTTTAATAAGCAAGAAGTACTCAACATTTTTATGATATGGGTATACCCGGATAAATCTTAGCTTGCTAAATTGGTGTGTACATGCTGTTAAATAACCTGGTGCTTACATTTGTGCTGTACCGTGACATTTTAGATCTCATTAAGATGTAAAATTGCTCTGTAAGTCCTTCTGCCCCTTAGTAATGTATGTCAGTGTGGGACACGATGTTAATAAAGGATTTACATGAGCTGCAGTGAAGTGATACCTAATTGATGATAACCTGTGAATTAACATGAGTAGGAATGAGTTGCTAAACTTCATTTGCACTGATTGAATACATTATTTAATTTTAAATGACTCATGTACTTTTTGCTATGAAATGATAAAATGTA